GCAGAAGTTAAAAGCCACATTCAGCTTAACAGCAAATAAACATTGCGGAAGGGACACAGTTAACTTTTGCAAGGCTCAGCCCTTTACTCATTCTGGCTGCCTCACACTGTCATTTTTGAAGTAGAGGAGCCTCAAAGGTAAAAGGGTTAAAAAAGGCCACTTCTAATTGTAACATGACTCCTGGGATAGAGCGAAGGCGGTCACATTACACACACATTGGAACCTGAAATAATGCTGGATTCTTTCCTTGCACCAACTAAAAATCACAGTCACTTTGCTAACCATGCCTCCTGGGCAGCACTTTTGAGACATAGCAAAGCACTATTAATCACCCCCAATATCTCAGGTATGAAAGCTAGCCCCCACCCCCTCGCTTCCTGACTGTCTATTTTCTCACAAGGCTAAAACTTGAGCTGCTGGTTCTGAGACCACTTTTTAAAAAAATAAAATAAAATCTCAGAGTCCCTTAAGGCAGTAGCATCAAGGGGCTGCAAGAGTAGAGGGAGTAAAATGTGGTTGGGGGTGTATCTGCCAACATCTTCCATAGTTTTACACTGCAACTGGTTCCCCAAAAATGAGGATAGTGTTTCACTCCTACAAGCTCCAAAGCCTACCCTGCAAGAGGTTTTTTCACATCTCTGGCCAGCACATGAAATGGAAATGGCTGAAGAGCAATGCAGAATGGGTGCAATCCTGAAAAAGCAGGCATGCCAAAGTCACGTTGACATTAATGGGATTAAGAAACGCTCAAATTCCATTGATTTCAGTAGGACTTAGGTGCATTATAACTGGGGGGGGTGTACTGGAGGCACTTATTTTAAAGCACTATAATTTACCATCAACCTTCTTATTATCACTACTGTATTTACCGTTCTCTGGATTGCACACAATAAAGTTTGTGCAAATCCCACTGATTTAAGTGGAGATTTACATGCCCCTAATGTGTTTAGGATGGGACAACTCACGTTTAAAAGACCCCATTAAGGGGGGAAAGGTTTGATTTGGTGGTTTAATGAGACCTTTCTCATCTGAGTGAAACTGTAAAGGAACTGTCCTTGTCCAGCTCACCCTGTAATTTCTGACACTGAAATCACAGCTAAACACGGTGCAGTTGGGGGGAAGACACAGTATCATATACTTAAGCACTGCAATGCTCTTCTCATTTCCTTCGTGCTCACAAAAATATATACAGTGATGGCAAGTGGGCCACAGAAAAGCTTGATTCAAGGCTGCATGTCTGAGGATCTGGTACTTTACCAGACCAGCCTTTTAAAAATAAAAATAAACCATTTATCTGGTCACTTCTAAGGAGTGAAACTTTTCTCCAGGGGACCAGACAGGAAATGTTTTGTAAAGTGGCAGATTTTTTTCCCCTTTTAGCCCATCAGTGTGTCACAAACACAGATACACTCTGCTAAGTAAACAACTGTGGGCTACCTATTTTATGGGCTTGCTTACATGGACAAGTTAATCTTTTGTCAATACTGCTACCCATCTAAGTTTTCTGCACCTGAAACTGCTTTACCAACTATGAGAAGCAGCCTTTCCTAGCAGTTGCCATGGATGCTGCAGAGCTTTTTGTGGTTTGCATCCATGGCCTTTAGGAAACATCCCCCCCCTTTTTTTTTTTTTTTTGCTATTATCTCTCAAGTAATTTATTTATATGGAATGGAAATAAATAAATTACGATCACTGGTGGCAGGCTGGTCAGTTGGGCAGGTGGGGCAACACTCTCCGAAGCCTATCTCAGGGTTGGGACAGTCTCTCGGTTCTTCGCAGATTATGTCGTCGCAGAGGATAGTCCCAGTATCACAGACACAGATCCGGCAGGGCTCAGGTTTCCACACATCTTTATCACTATACCTCTGCCCATTCTGTACACAGCTGCCTGCCTCCTCTGTGCCAGAAGGGGAGGGAAAGAGCAGGGTAGGGTAGGGGGACAAAGAAGGCAAAAAAAGGAAAAAGAGGAAAAGAACCAGAAAGGAGGGGAGAGAGAAAGAAACAGGGTAATATCATCAGCATTGGTTATAGCAATCCTAAATAATGAACACAAAGGTGGCCTCTTCTGTTCCAGACTGGCTCCATTCAAGGACATCTCTCCATCTTCCCCAGATTTATGATATTTTGGCAGTGTTATCCAGAAGCAAAAAAAAAGGGGGGGGCTTAGTAATCTGCGCTCTCTCTCTCTCACACACACACACACATACACACAAATACAAACACACAAAGACCCCTCAGTTCTCACAATGCTGGTTTGAGAGCCTTTACCAGGACACTACCGAACAGGGATGGGGAGCCTGTGGCCTTCTCAACAGCCCAAAATAGCATGGTCCCTAATGGAACAAAGGATGATGGGAGTCGTAGTCCAACAATGTCTGGAGGGCCAGGAGCTCTTCTGTAGAATCATGGAGGTTTTCTTCCTATAAGATCTCTGGAGCTCCAGACAGGATATGCTTGGTTTGCTTTGGTTGCTCCTCACAACAAGCCCTTTGTGAGGTAATTCTCAGTGAGGTAAGGGCTAGGCAAAGGTCATAACTACTCGCCCCCCAGTTGCCTCTCTGAGAGATGAACAGGATTTTGAACCTGTCTCTGCCCCAGTGTGAAACAATAACACGCTGCCCGCTGTGCCACTCTGCCTGGGTGCACAGCGTGTGGAATGCCACTTTCAGAGAGGGCATGTGGCAAATTTTAGGCCCAATTCTGCCTCGGCCTCAACGTCAGCGAATCTTTTAACAGTTGTCATACACACCTCTGTCCACAGCAGCAAGAATGCTAAATTGGCAGATGATGGGGATGCAGAGGAGAACAAGTGCCCCCCCCCAAAAAAAATCTGGTGTTTAAAAGTCTCCCGAAGGCCTACATGCTTGCGCCTGGTCTGGCACTACTAGCTCTGCAGCTTGAATTCTTGGGTGCACTTCTGGTGTGCAAGAAATTCAATCCGATCCGCCATTTCTTAGTCAGAACAGCGTTATACTAGGCCACACAGTCGATTCAGGTTTGTAACCTCTGGCCAAAATGGAAACTGCCGCCACCTGGCAATCGTGGGGACGGGGTGATGCTAGAGACCCTTTTAAAATGCTTCTCATCTGGAACACAGACAGCAGAGTGCGCCTAAGAAAGAGCAACGACCCTATCTGACTCTCTGTATGTGCAGAAAAGGACTAAAGCTGTTTTTCCAATTAAAAAAGAGTGGTTTGGGGTTTTTTAAGCAGTAGTAGATGTGAGATCTTGAAGTTGGCAAGGGGGGTGCATTTTGGAACTGGAAGGCACGAGTAATAGATGGCAGAAACCCCGGTGCTCTAATCAGAAGAACTGACCATGTTTATCCCCCATTAGGAGACTTAAATAGAAATGAATTGTGATGGGGAAGAGGTCACTAGAAACCCATTAAAAATGTGCCCCTTTGGCACATGCTTTCCTCTTCCCCACCCCCCACTTTCTAAAACACATCCTAGTGAAGGCTTGACAGCACCAGCAAAATGACAGGGGGCTTATTGTGCCCTGAGCAGGGGGAGCCTGCAGGAGCCCAAGGGACCCACGCACTCATGAATGGGGCTTTTCTCGAGTGCACACAGAGCGCGATTCACATGGCTCAGTTAGGGACTAGTTTAAATAAATATGGGCAGCATTTCAGCATCTGGAAGCTATTGCCGCCAAAGGCAAACAAATGTTCATAGAGCGGGAATTGAGCTCGCTCCCTGACCTGGGAGCACACTTTAAAAATAAAATAAAAGACATAAATACAAGACGAGACTCCCAAAAGGCGTGCTAAGGTTACAGTGAGCGAAAAAGCAACGCTATAGGCAAATCCACTCTCTCCTTAGCTCATAAGAATGCAACAATAGGTCCTTTTTAAAAAGGTAAAGGGCGATATCTGCGCTCCCTTACTTGCCCACACACCTCTGAAATTCAACGCTTGACCTGAAATCGCTGGACACAATGAAGGGAAAATGGATGTGCTAAGCTGCACTGCTGTGCAGCCAGGCCAGCTGATCACAATTGTCTAAACTTTAAAGAGAAGCAAGGGCACCTGACTGACATAACACAGCACCTACCAAAGAGATGGTCAAGGACAACTCTCCACAGGGCACCCCAGGTCATGGCTGAACCCAGAACCCTTTCCAGGGGAGGCTGGTCATGGGGCAGAGCCTTACCAGTAATCTTCTCACAGAGGATGAATGGGGAAAAACCAGAACTGGTGACACCACCGCTGCTTGGCTGCCCTTACCAGGTACACTGCCCCACCTCCTGCAACTGGCCCTTTCTGCTACTAACTTGGAAAACTCAACGGCAGAGATTTGCTCCACATGAGCAAAAAGGAATTCAACTCCTTGGCCTCCCCCTGTCTTTCCCCCCCTTCTTTTTCTGGAAGCTCGAGCTGAGAAAAATAAAGCATGGCCTGTGATCCAAAGCAAGAGGCCTCCCTCCACCCTCACCCTGCTTTTCGAGCTCTATTCCCTGCAATTGATTTACAGTCTGGAGCATACGGAGGCAGGCGTGGAATTCGAGCAATAGGGAACCTACCCAAAGAAATGAGCTTTTTTAAAAAAAAGAAAAAAAGTTCTTTCTACCTAATAAAGTTTCCGTCTTCCATCCCTGAATAATATCCCAGACAACAAAAGCTTTCTGGGTAGGGGGGTGAGAGACAGCCCTGACTGTATGGTTGCTGTCTTTCGTAGTATCACATTTTGTGATTATTTTGTAATTCATTAGAATATATATTCTAATGAATATATATATATTCTAATGGGGGAGCAGGGAGAGGACATTGCCACAAGGAAGAAACTACTGTATCTTCCACCACCTAATTTAAGAGAAACCATTTTTTCCCTGGGTTTAAATTTTGCATGCATGTGCTGTTCAGGCATATATTGGGGGGGAGGTAGGAGAGGGGGGGAGAGATGGAGAGAACAGAGCAAACTAGACTGATGTGTCTCTGGAATGCTTTGCACCCTTCAGGTGGCCTCTTGAGTTGGGGGGGAATTTTCCCTTCTGCTCCTTTCAACAACAACAAAAAAAATCTGTTAGCTATCAAATTCCCTGGGATCTCCATCTGCACCTTACTCCACCATCCCTAACTGAATTGGGGGAGGGAGCAAAAAGGGAGGACAGATTTTTTTCTGCACAAAGATCTTTCTTTGTAAAAAAAGAAAAAAAGGGGGGGAGAAGGCAAAGAGTCTTGCTTGTCTAACCCCAATGTTCTCTTTTGTCTGGATCCCCCTTTGAACCCATCGCCACCACATTCAGTTAACTCTATCGCGGCCGCCACAGGCAGAAAGTGCATTTCCACCACTTTCTCTCGGGTGAGCTCTGTCTTTCTGACTTAGGGGGATGGATATTCCTGGATGGAATATAATGGTTTGGCCGGCTCTTTAAGAAACCTTATCCCCCACGTCACCTCTCTCCCCGAAAGGCCAATGGCAGAAGAAATGGGGAAACCCTGGGATTGTGGTAAGTGGAGCTCTCTTCTCAACCAAGCAGGCACCACAGTGCAGCCTCCCCCTCAACAGGCATATCAGTATCTCATACCAAAGGAGATGATGGACAGAAGCTTTTTATGGGAAGGAAAGAATCTGGTGAGCAAAGGAGAGAAATCCAAGCACAGGAAGGCTGTGTTTAATTTAATTGTGCAAACCCTCAAAACTCTCGGTCTTTGCTCCAGATCTTTCTTTTTAAACACCTCTTCCCTCCCTGTTATTTCCCCACCTCATCCGGATAGGTTTTCTTTTCGCCCTCTTGCAGAAGGAGGAGGAGCAGGAGAAGAAGAAGAAGATGGAGAAGAAGAAGAACGGTGCAACTTACGTATATCCTCATCCTGACATTTGACAACTGCTAATAAAATGACTTGCGTGGCTGCTAGGAGCACTAGAGTCCTTGAATCCACAAAGCTGAACATGTCTAAATGTTAGACATGCAGGACCTTTGCGGGGAGGAGGGAGGTGGTGGTAGTGGTGGAGGAGGAAAAGGTGGTGATGGTAGTTCCCCCAGTGGCTACCGAGCCTTCATGCAGCCGATCCTCCCTTTTCTTTGGAAACAGCAGGAGAATCCAAAGTCCCCCCCGGAGGCCCAGCAGAAAGTCCCTCTGCTGCTGCCGTCGTGTGCTCCGGGCTGAGGCACCGCGGTTTTATGCTCCCCTCTGCCTTCTAGCAGCCAGCGTATATGCCCAGGTCCCCGTCCCCCCCTGCCCCCCAGCTGAGCTGTAACCTGAGCCCCGAGCCTTGTCCCCGACGGTAGAGACCCCTCCCCTCCTGGCCCATCTCCTCAAGTGCAGCAGGAGCCCTGCAAGCCAAAACGGGTGGCAACCGGGTGAGAGGGAGGGAGGGGTCTGTGGCTCCTTCCCCCGCCCTCGAAACACCCATCTCGATACCTCGACGGCGGGCGGATCCGAAGTGAATCAGTCCCGCCACCGTGGGACTGCAAGTCGCAGAGCGCTCCTGGGTCGCTCCGCTTCTCCACGCGCAAGAGCCGGCTGCTTCTGGACTTTGGTCTACTGCGCTAAGCTCCTTTCCCTCCGCCTGGGAAGAAGCAGGGGCCAGGATGAGTCCCCCCCGGGGTGGGGAGGGGGGGTCCGGGGAAAAGCCACGCAAACGGAGCCAGGATCAAGAGGGGCCTCGGGGAACACCGGCGGCTGCGCCTCCGCACCTGCTCCAGAGTTTGCAGCCGGTTCGGTTTCACTTCGAATTCTCCCAGACTGCGCAGCTCCCCCGCTTTTCCGCCAACGAGGAGTGCGGGGAACACCTGCCGCCTTCGTGGTCTAGGTTTTCTAACGCCTAACTACACAAATACACCCCGTTTTCCAGCCCGCCCACCCCCAGTGGTTTCACCCCCAGCTTCCAATTGCACCGTTGCTCTCTTCGCTCTCACCATTCGGAGCTGATTCGCGCTATTTCGTTTTCCTCGCTTCGCTTTGCAAACTATACGGATCCAGTTCCAACCCTCTCCTCCTTTCCATCGACCCTTCCCACTCTGCCTTTCTCGGGATTTTTACACACACACACAACGTGCATGGTGGCTCTCTGGCCTAAAGGTGTGAGATCGCTTTTAAAGATCAGGTCCCGGCGCAAAGATCCCGGGACAACTCTTCCCACCAGAAGCAGGAATTCAGCTTGAAGACAACGCATTGCAGCGCCGCTACTGCATGGCGACGGGTGGAAGAGTTGTGCCTCTGGCAACGAACCCTAGGCCAGACAGGCGGATACAGTGTATTATTATTATTATTATTATTATTATTATTATTATTATTATTATTATCATCATCATCATCATCATCGTTGTTGCTGCTGTTAAGGCAGCAGGGCAGGTTGCAAGCAATTTAAAAATCAGGGTTAAAACAAATCACAGTCATGGAAATAGGGTGGCTTACTCCCTTAAGACTACAGGATCTGCCCCATTCATTCTCTGCCCCCGCTCTTTAAAAGTTAAAAGTTTGATGGCAATCCTCTTGAGATCATTGGAACGGACACAGGATTCGGCCGTTAAAGCGCAACGCTAGACAAGGGGCTTCGTGCCTTGATTCCGGCGTCCGATTATTGATCGATTCCCCAGCCTAGCCCGCCTCTTCCTTCTTTTCCCCCGCCCCGGTACTCGAATCTCCTGGGGCAGGAAAAAAGGAGGAGAGGTGTGCAAGTCTGGCGGGTGGAGGACGAAAAGACGGCGCAAAAGCACGCGCCACACCCCTATGCATGGGTTTACTCGGAAGTAAGTCCCTCTGAGAAAGGGGCTTACTCTCGAGGAAGCCCGCGCAGGATCGCAGCAGCCCTGCAAGTGCGTACTTGCAGAAGCGTGCGTCGCGCCCTGCTTTCGATGCGCAAATGCCCTAACAGGGCGCAGCCGCCAAGGGAAGCTTTGTTTCCCCAAAGCGAGCCCGGAATCCCCTTGCGCACGTGGCTGGCGCGTAGGGATCCAATGAGAGCGCTCCAAAAGAGACCTGCCTTTGCGGATGGAGGGAAGATTCCCTCGTTAGGAAATGCTGAGTGAATAGGTCAGTGGTTTTCAGCCAGTGTGCCGTGGTATCCTGGGGTGCCTTGAATGGTGGGCATGGCTGCCACGGGCAACACTGGCCTCTGTCCCTCTTTCCTCCCATCCTTCCCCTGATGCCCTCTGCTGTCTCTGCCTCCCAAAGGCTGGCACAGCTGTTAGATGTAGCCCCCTGGCTACAAGCTCCCCAGGCAAATGGTGCCCCATAGGGTAGTGTGAGGAGGCCCAGGGGTTTCCCAAGGAGAGGGGATAAAGGAGGCTGAAGGAACACTCCACTGAGGGTGGAGGTAGGGTTCGGCTGCCAGCTCTGCAGACAAGGGGTGACATAACTGGGTTCCTGAGCCCCACAGGGGTGCCGCAGGAAGAATGTACAGTGGTACCTTGGGTTAAGAACTGCCCAGGCTTGCACCCAGCAAAGGTCACTTTGGTGCTGCTGATGATGTTGTGGTTTGACTTAACCCCCAGAGGCGCGCTCCATTGCCTCTCTAGACAGATGGATGCCAACAACCTATTCCAAAGGTTTTCAACCTTTTTGAGTCCACGGCTTCCTTGACCAACTACAGTGGTACCTCGGGTTACATACGCTTCAGGTTACATACGCTTCAGGTTTCAGACTCCGCTAACCCAGAAATAGTACCTCGGGTTAAGAACTTTGCTTCAGGATGAGAACAGAAATCGTGCTCCGGCGGCGCAGCGGAAGGCCCCATTAGTTAAAGTGGTACCTCAGGTTAAGAACAGTTTCAGGATAAGAATGGACCTCCGGAACGAATTAAGTTCTTAACCCAAGATACCACTGTAATGTCTATGAATTACAAAAATGACATGGTACAATTCCCATAAAGATGCCACCAAACACAGGTTCACGATGGTTAGTGATTCCACAGACACTCTTAATGTGGTAATGATAATAACAAACTCATTCTCGGAGGGCTTATCCTAATGTAGCCAAAGCAGCGGCACAAGAGGGCAGTGACAGCAGACTTGGGGGAACCCCAAGCTTTGCAAAAATAACAGAACAACTTTGTGGAAGAAGGGAGAGAACCAAAAACAACCCAGCGGGCACACAGAGTGCTGTCTTAACTGTTGAGAACATGGAGGATGGTGTATAATAAGCAGCGCTTTTCTTCTAGAATAAAAAGTGCCCTTGAGTACCCCCAGAAAAAAATACTTTCGAATTGTTATGTACTGAAGTTCTCACCCTGGGCCAGCAGGGGGATACTGTAGATAGTTTTCACTCAGGTCCACATATGCAAATAAGGAATTGAAAGCGACGTTCAGTGATTGGATAGTTACAGAAAGTTGTTCCTGTTGCGTTCTAGTGGAGCTCTATATAAGCAGGCTGGCTGAACCCTTCAGTTCAGTTCTTTTCTGGCCTGTGAATAAACAAGAGCTGTTTGAAGAATCGCTATGTCATCTGATATGTTCACCCACAACTTAACACAAATTGTCAATGCTATGCACACTATGCCCAGGGAGTGGGGCGATTCCCTACCACGATCATTTCTATTTAAGTCTCCTAATGGGGGATAAACATGGTCACCCCGTCTAGCATCACCCCGTCCCCATGATTGCCAGGTGGCGGCAGTTTCCATTTTGGCCAGAGGTTACAAACCTGAATCGACTGTGTGGCCTAGTATAACGCTGTTCTGACTAAGAAATGGCCGATCGGATTGAATTTCTTGCACACCAGAAGTGCACCCAAGAATTCAAGCTGCAGAGCTAGTAGTGCCAGACCAGGCCTTCGGGAGACTTTTAAACACCAGATTTTTTTTGTTTGAGACACTTCTTATTCTCTGCATCCCCATCATCTGCCAATTCAGCATTCTTGCTACTGTGGGCAGAGGTGTGTATGACAACTGTTAAAAGATGCGCTGACGTTGAGGCCGAGGCAGAATTGGGCCTAAAATTTGCCACATGCCCTCTCTGAAAGTGGCATTCCACGCACTGTGCACCCAGGCAGAGTGGCACAGCGGGCAGCGTGTTATTGTTTCACACTGTGGCAGAGACAGGTTCAAAATCCTGTTCATCTCTCAGAGAGGCAACTGGGGGGCGAGTAGTTATGACCTTTGCCTAGCCCTTACCTCACTGAGAATTACCTCACAAAGGGCTTGTTGTGAGGAGCAACCAAAGCAAACCTATGTCCTGTCTGGAGCTCCAGAGATCTTATAGGAAGAAAACCTCCATGATTCTACAGAAGAGCTCCTGGCCCTCCAGACATTGTTGGACTACGACTCCCATCATCCTTTGTTCCATTAGGGACCATGCTATTTTGGGCTGTTGAGAAGGCCACAGGCTCCCCATCCCTGTTCGGTAGTGTCCTGGTAAAGGCTCTCAAACCAGCATTGTGAGAACTGAGGGGTCTTTGTGTGTTTGTATTTGTGTGTATGTGTGTGTGTGTGTGTGTGTGTGTGTGAGAGAGAGAGAGAGAGAGAGAGAGAGAGCGCAGATTACTAAGCCCCCCCCCTTTTTTTTTTGCTTCTGGATAACACTGCCAAAATATCATAAATCTGGGGAAGATGGAGAGATGTCCTTGAATGGAGCCAGTCTGGAACAGAAGAGGCCACCTTTGTGTTCATTATTTAGGATTGCTATAACCAATGCTGATGTTTCCTCTTTTTCCTTTTTTTGCCTTCTTTGTCCCCCTACCCTACCCTGCTCTTTCCCTCCCCTTCTGGCACAGAGGAGGCAGGCAGCTGTGTACAGAGTGGGCAGAGGTATAGTGATAAAGATGTGTGGAAACCTGAGCCCTGCCGGATCTGTGTCTGTGATACTGGGACTATCCTCTGTGACGACATAATCTGCGAAGAACCGAGAGACTGTCCCAACCCTGAGATAGGCTTCGGAGAGTGTTGCCCCACCTGCCCAACTGACCAGCCTGCCAC